CAGCCACCAGGACCTCACCAAAATCTCAGCCAAATCCGCCACAGCCACCAACACATCTACCTGCACAACCAACAAAAATACCTAAAACCCCCCAAAACACCACCAACACCAGAACTGCACCAAACCACCACAAACACTGCACACAACACCATGCCCAACCGCCACACCACCGTCGACCGCCGCCACCACCATCATCTACCTACCAAACACCATCATCGATCTGAAAAGAGTCCCCAACTCCAGCAAGACCAGGACTACCACAGAACTCACACACACAATCGGCTTCCACATACAAAAATCACACAAATCGGCTTCGCCCAGCGCTACCTGACTACATTGCGAGTCACCGTTGAGAGCGCAGACACTGATGCTCACAGCGAAGAGGCGAGCGACGTTGTGATGATTTCTCAGCAGCCGTTGAGCCTGATGCTCAAGCCGTTGAGTTGCCGCTCACAGCGAAGAGGCAAGCAACGCTGTGATGATTTCGCAGCAGCCATTAAGACCGATGCTCACAACGTTGAGTCGTCGTTGAGATCGATGTTGTGATGATTTCGCAGCAGCCGCGACACCCAGATTTCACAGTAGCCGATGTCGGTAGAGAGAAGGAAGGTAGAGAGAAATAGAGTAGAGAGAGAGAGAATGGAGAGAAGAAGGGGAGACAAAAATGAATTAGGGCATGGAAATGGAACAGGTAGATTAATTAATTTTTATATGTGTTAATAAATTAATAAAATATCCAATTAATACCTGATTTTTGATTAAACAAACTTCATTCCTGATTTTTGAATTAAAAAGTTTAAGTACATGTTTTTATGTAATTTCCTCTTTTCACAATGTCCTTTGACCAGACCAGCGTGCATCCCGCCCAGATGGCCCAAACGTCCCGACAATGGTCCCCATTTTAAGGGTATCTTCGTCTTTTACATTTTGAGAAGGTCATTGTGGTCAATAAAAAATAAGTTAGGCTTATGTGGTGAATGGTAACTTTGACGTGGCCATTTAGAAAACATGGTCTATTTCCGGGTGTCGTACATTTATAAAGAAGGAATAGAGTGGCTGATGCATTGGCAGCATACACAGTGAAGAGTCAGGCATCATCGTGGTGTTCTTCGTCTCCAAGTTTCTGCCGAAATCTTGCCTCTAGTTACATCGGACCTATGTAGTTA